TTTTTTTCATTTCTCATCTTTTTAACGCTCTCTTGCTTTCTTCATGATGTTCTTGATGTCATCTCATAATTCTTCTGGTTTTCAGTCTTTAGTGTTCAGTGCACCAGATCTATTCTTTAGATGGTCTCTAAATTCAGGAGGGATATATTTAAGGTCATATTTTGGCTCTTGTGGACTTGTTTTAATTGTCTGCAAGTTGAACTTCCATATGAGCAGTTGGTGGTCTGTTCCATAATCAGCTCCTGGCCTTGTTTTGGCCAAAAGTACTGAGCTTCTCCATCACCTCTTTCCACAGATGTAGTCAATTTGACTCCTGTTTACTCCATCTGGTGAAGACCAAGTGTATAGCCATCATTTGTATTGTTGAAAAGTGTTTGCAATTAATAAGTCATTGGTCTTGCAAAATTCTATCATGCAATCTCCAGCATTTCTATCTCCAAGGCCAAATTTTCCAACTACCAGTGATTCTTTGTTTCCAAGTTTTGCACCAGTGATAATTAACACATCTGGATTGCATGTTCAGTCAATTTCAGACTGCAGAAGTTGATAAAAATCTTTGATTTCCTCATCTTTGGCTTTGGTGGTTGGTGTGTAAATGTGAATGGTTAGTATTAACTGGTTTTCCTTGTAGGCTTATGGATATTATCTTATCACTGACAGCATTGTACTTCAGGAAGGATCGTGAAACATCCTTGTGATGAATGCCATGCCATTCCTCTTCAAATTGTCATTCCCAGCATAGTAGATCATATGGTTGTCTGATTCAAAGTGTCCAAAACCAATCCATTTCAGCTCACTAATGCTTAGGTATCTTATCTTCATGCACGACAACTTCCAATTTTCCTAGATTCCTACTTTGTACATTCCATATTCCAATTATTCATGGATATTTGCAGCTATTTCTCCTCAATTGGAGTCGTGCCATGTCAGCAAATTGAGATCCTGAAAGCTTTACTTTATCCATATCAGTAAGGTGGTTTCTACTCTGATGATGCAGCTCTCTTCCAGTCATATTTGGAGTGCCTTCCGACCTGAGGGGCTAGTCTTCCTGCAGTGTATCAGACGGTGTTTCTGGACTATTCATAAAGTTACCCAGTGATGTATCAGTGTTTCTCTCCTATTCATAAGGTTTTCCCTGGCCAATTCTTTGTGAATGGCCTCTTCCTTCTTCTTAGTCTGTCTTAGTCTGTAAGCTGTGTTGCAACCTGTGAACTATGTGCAACCCTGCTGCCATCTGAAACAGTGGCACAGCCTCAAGCCTTACAGCAACACGCAAGCCACCACAGTAGGACAAACTGACAGACAAGTTTGTCTCCCTCAGCAGTTCAAAACCTCTCTGCCCTCCCCTTAACTGGATCCCAGGGCTCTTCCCCAGCTTCCTGACTCTTGGGGTGGGGCCTGTCTCCCTCCCCTTACCTGGATCCCGTGGCTCTCTCTCATCCCCAGCTTTCCCCCCGCTTCCTGCCATATGTATATGTACTTACATTTAATGGTGGACCCATGTTTTTTAAATTGTGAAAATATACACTGACACCTGTCAAAAACCTGTTGCTGTTGAGCATGACCCATCGTGACCCGAAGGGACAGAACAGAGCTGCCCAGTCTTTCTCCTATGGACCGGCTGGTGGGTCTGAACCGCTGACCTGTTAGTTGCCATGTGCTTAACCACTGCGCCACCAGGGCTCCTTACATATAACACGACGTTTGCCAACTCACATGACTGTTGTCTCATATTCCATCATCATCACCACAGAAACTCAGCACCTTGTGACTCTCCCCAACCCAAGGCACCATTGAACACTGTTCTATTTCAGGGAGGGGAGATCAGGTATTTGTCCTTTGTTCCTTTGCTCAGCACCATGTTTTCCAAGTTCACCCACAAGGCAGGGCTTCATTTCTCTTCAAAGCCGAGAAATATTCTGCTGTATGTCTGGACCACCCTCCATGCCTCCTCTGTTGACAGACACATTGTTTCCAACTCTTGGCAGTTGTGAACAGCACTGCCATGTACCTATTAGCATCACTACTGCCGAGTCCCGGGATACCAACCCAGGAGTGGAACTGCTGGGTCACGTGGTCTTTCTGTTAACTTCTGAGGGACCCCCAGACTTTTCCATAGCATCTGCCCCCTTCTGCCTTCCCATCAGCGACAAGTAAGATTCCAGCTTCTTCATGTCCTCAACACTCCTTAGCCCTGCTAGTGGGTGTGGTGTCTCACCGTGGCTTTGATTTCTGTTTCCCTCATGGCTAATGATAATGAACCCTGGTGGTTTACTGGTTAAGGCATTTGGCTACTAACCAAAATGTCGGTGGTTTGGACCCATCAGCTGCTCTTTGGAAGAAAGATGAGGCAGTCTGCTTCTGTAAAGATTACTGCCTTGGAAAGCCACGGGGGCTTGGTTCCTTTCAGAACAGCTAAGGATGCTGAACATCTACTCGTGCTTGTTGGCTTCTTCTTTAGGAAGAACTCTATTCAATCCTCTGTCTGGTTTCCCACTGGCCTGTCTTGTAATCTTTTGTTGGATGCCAGACATTTTAAGTTGTATCTTACTGGGGGGGGGGGGCGGAATTCCACTAATGCTTTCTGAGCTTTGCTCTGGGGTTCTCGTAAAGGACCTGAACAGCCTTCATCCAGGGTTCTTATCCATGTGCTTGTGGGCTCTGCCCCACGCCCTCTGCTCAGGTTCTAGGGAACGTGACCTATTTCAGTTCCTTCCTAGTGGCCTTTCCTATCTCCATCTGGGGTAGTCCCCTTGTAAAACCAGTGGGCACTCCGCAGCAGCTAGGAAGGAGCCCTCACTGCAATGTCTCTTCCAGGCTCCACTGTGCCCCTCTCCCATTGCAGTCAGGAAATGCACTTGCTGTAGTGGTGAACTGGATGGTCGGAGGCCCACCTCATCCATCTCCTTCTCCACAGACCGCTGCCCTGCATGGCCTGCCATCAGGTTCTGCGTAGTGTGTCCAGCTGGTGGAGGTGGAGGGAAAACCCAGCCTGTTATTCCATCATGGCCAGAAACCAACAGACACTACAAACATGTATGCCAGGTGTGGTCCAGGCCCTGGAACCTGCTGCACAGCTAGGAGAGTCAGCATGGATCACGTTGGACGGGAAAGTCCAGTGTGTGGGAAGAGGACATGGTAGAGCAATCCTAGGCACGGGAACATTTTGGGACAACGTCTCTGGGTACATCCTGAGAAAGCCCTTCCCATGTACTAGTCAGGTCACCTAGGGCAAGGAGCACACTGGGCTCCTATCCCCTCACCTATAGAGTGGGGATAGGAACTGTCACACCTGACACTCAGTGAGGGCTACAACACCTGATCATGCAAAGTGCTCTAAGCACACCACCCACGTCCACTCTCCTGGGCCTGCAGGGTCTTCCAGAGCTGGCACAGTACCCACATCCATTCCCAGCCTGCGGAGTGTCTTCCTGAGCTGGCACGGTATCCACGTCCATTCCCAGCCTGAGGGGTCTCTCCAAGCCGGCACGGTATCCATGTCCATTCCCAGCCTGAGGGGTCTCTCGGTACGGTATCCACGTCCATTCCTGAGTAATCTTCCCGACCCAGCAGGCCACCCATGTCCATTCCCAGCCTGCAGAGTCTTCCTGAGCTGGCAGGTCACCCACTTCCACACCCAGCCTGCGAGGTCGTCACAGTTCTCAGCAGGCTGCAGGTTAGATGCAGCAACACCATCAACATGACTCACACAAGAGCCCTCTTGTCCAAATATAAATGGTTTATTCATTTCTGTCATTTGGAGTATAAAATATAAAATACAAAGCTCCCCATACCCTCTTGCCCACAGTCTGGTCCCTGAAGACTGGCTCACTGCAGAGCCGGCTGGTCCACAGTGGCCTCAGGCTTCAAACATAGCACAGCTGGTACAGAGCACCTTCTCATGAGGGTCGCTGTAGCTGCAGATGGAGCCGGAGAGAGAGAAGCCGGTAAGCCACCTGGACCCACCTGGGTCCCAGCAGGACCCACCACCCCAGAACCACACACAAGTCCTGTGAGAAGCCCCTATACCATGTCACACTTGGCACTCTTCCAAGGCTTCAAGACTCTGTGAACCAAGAGTAGGAAACCCACAAATCAGGGTGAGCGCCACGGGGAGTCAAGGTATGTGGAGTGCCTGTACCCCTCACCCCTGACCTCCAGAGTCAGTGCCACAGGGAGTGGAGGTGGGTGGGGGCCTGCCCCCCGGCCTCTCAGGGTGAGCACTGTGGAGAGTCGGGTGGGTGGGGTGTGTGTCCTGGGAAAGGGAAGCAGTAGGAAAAGCTAAGCACAAGGGACACAGACAGCAGGAAGTCCTGCAAGGACTTGGCACTCTACCTAGGGCTCCCAGCACACCTGGTGGGGGGCAGGGTGACCCCAGCACCTGTCCTCCTGCTGGTGCCAAATGCACTGAGGGGAGGAGGTGACTGGGACCTGGAAAGGCAGGAAAGACCCTCCTTTTCAGTTCACAGAATAGGAAGTGGAGGAGCCAGCCTTCAGACAACCCCGCGCCAAGTGAAACTGGGGGAGGGCGGGGCTTGCCCTGCACCCCCACTGTCATCTCACTCGTTCAGTTTCAAAAGCTGCCAACAAGGAGCTGGGTCAGGTCTCTAGAACCGGCCACTAGGCTGTTTTGTGGAACTCCTCTTTCGTACAGTGCAAAGAGGCCCTGCAAACGCCCCCCTTGGGAGACCTGCCCTGAGGGGAAGCAGCCGTGTCCTCTGAAGGTCCGGTCAGCTGCAGTGAGCCTACACATGTACACACACCCTCACACACCAACCAGACAGGCATGCCAGCCCGAGAGGACCTCGGACCAGGTAGACAGGTAAAGCCTGGGGCTCCACCTGCCAGCAGCTCCTCAAAAACTGAGCACATTCACAGGAAATAAGACACGTCCTCCCGGGAGCCCACAAACGACTAGAGGGGACTGCAGTCAGGGTGCAGCTCCCGACAAGGAGGGATCACAATGTTTCCAGAAAAAACCACCGGCTTCAGTCTGGCAAGGCAACAAAGCTGACCGCCATGCCCGCCACGCCATCCTCCCGAGCCCCAGACGGACCATGTACTGCAGACGAGCTCTGTGGGGACACATAGGTAAAGCCACTCACTCGACAGAGGAGCACAGGGCGCAGGCCACGGCGCCACAGCCCCAGCAGGTACGCAGGCACCGCCCGCAGAGTGGCCGCTCACACTGGCTACAGACAGCCTTCCCGTCCACGCTACGCACACACGAGGAGCAGGCCCTGGATGCCGCCTCTGACAGGTCTGCAAGGAAGATACACCACGGACCATCAGCCGGTGATCACTGCTTCCCCGCACCCCTAGAGGGGGTGGGCCTCCTTGCGCCCCTGGCCATGGTCTCTATGGGGTCTTTCACACTGTCACTCCCTACTCGGGCCACTACAGCATGACCACCAGAGGCCCTGGCTCTGTCCTGGGGACATCCATGCCTTGTCAACCCTCATGTCTCCAGGGGACCCTCCCGACATGCCCAGAGCTCAGTACAGCAGAGGCTGATCTCACGAGAGCCTTGCCACGCCCAAAGCTCTAGCCAGCCGTCTGGAGCAGAACAGAGGTGATGCCAAGGCCCAGGGACAGTGGCCTCCACCTCTGGGATGCTGGTGCCAGAGAGCCACAGGGGGACTGCAGAGGGGCACTTGGGGCAGCTCTGCTCCCTCCTGGCCCGAGACTGAGGGCCGTGTACCAGCTTCCAGGTCTGGAGGTGTAGTGAGGACATGTGGTTATAGGTGTGCAGCCCTGGCACCTGCTCCTCCAGTAGGAGAGGCCCTGCTCACAGCCTCCCAAATGGAGCAGAAGAGCTCGGTCCACTTCAGCTGCACTCACCAGCCCCCGAGGCCTGGGCACGGCTCCTCAGTAGGCAGCCACCTGGCCCGATGAACATCTGCCCGCGGGTGGCCCCTGGCACGCCTGTGGGGCTGGGCTTTGGGGACTCCGGCAGGTGGACAAGGGTGCAGGTCTCTGGTGCGCCTTCTTCCCACGTATGGTCCATGTAGGCCTGGGCCCCACGGAACAGAAGCTGCCTGGTTCTCTCTGCAGAAGATAAGGATTCCGTGTTGACGACACCAGTCCCCAGAGCCCCAAGAGGTCCCCTTTGGCAGGCACGCTGTGGCCCCTGTGCTCTGTCACCCACAAATGCCAGGCTGTGGCCAGCTGGGTCCTCCTCTCCCTTCCTCACCTGGGCTCTGCTGCCATCTCCTGCAGGAAGGTTCTGGACCCTCCACCCCCACCTGGACTCATGACAGGGGCTCCCACTCTCCTCACTGCTCACATGCCAGTGTGGCTCTCAGTCTCACTCAGCTGGCCTCCCCTACAGGCTGCATGCCCCCACATATGGCATGCACTAACAAGTTTCCCACCAAGAAGCAGGCCTTGGGCTCTGGGCCAACCCCAGCCAGCAGCCCTACACCTGCAGCAGTGGGCCCTGACAAAGGCCGCCCATCCCTTCTGATCTTTGTGGGTGTGGACCCCCACCCAAGAGCTGACACGGTCCCTCAGCACCCAGAACCTGCCTCTCTATGTGTCTACAGAGTCCCCAGAGGCACAGTCACAGATCCAAGCCTGGACTTCAGTTCTTCAAATGCCAGTTCAGGGTTCCCCTTTACCCAGACACAGCCCAGCAAGGCCTGCTTGCAGACAGGCTGCTGGCCCCAGTGCAATTGGCAGCAGCCACTGCCAAACGAGGTGATATTGCCAGTCAGGTCCCCCCTCCCACCCCACTGCAATGGGCATGGGGGTGCATGGTGAAGGCACTGCCTGTCTTGCGGGGTTTGTGGTTGAGGATGGGAAGAAGGCTGGGCTGGACATCGTGACCTGTGAGCTCAAACATGCGTCCCACTGTGAGCGCGGAGCCAGGGACAAGACCCTGCTGCTCCAGGGCTGGAGGACGGTGAAGAGCGCGGCGGGTGGGAAGGCCTTCGGACCTAGGGGCACACACGTGAGGCTGTGCGGCAGCTCGGGCTTCAGAAGATGCTGGGGTCTGCAGTCCCTGCGCACAGGGGCAGGTTGCCCAAGCGCCAGGGGGCAGCGGGAAGGATCCTGAATAGCAAACCGCGCCTGCCGGCGAGACAGAAGCCAGGCGCAGTGTGGCCTCGCTCCGCGGTCTCAGTCACTCACGGGAACGGCCGACCGACAGCCCCATGCACACCCCAAATCCTCTGGAGCGCACTGTGCCCACGGCCCACGCTGGCCCGTTAGGGGCTACGGGACACTGTCCTGCTCTCCCCGCCTCCCCTCTCAGCCCGGCTGTCTCGTGCACGACCCGCTTAGGTGCTGCCCCCGGGAGGCCTCGTCGGCGTCACCGAGGAGCCCAGCCTCGTGTCCGCCCCACCGGGGCCCATGCAGCGCGAGGGGCGCTCCACAAACAGCTTCCCCGTGGGAGAGGGCTTCGGCCCATCGGCCATCTCCCTCCCCACCGCCTCCTGGGCTGCTGAGCGGGAGACGGGCTCGTGTGAGGGTAACGGGGACGGACCCCGCACCGACGACCCGCAGGCCCCACCGCGAACGGGGAGGGGGCTGCGGCGGCCCGGCCAGCCCCTCGGCTCCGGCTCACCGAAGACCTCCCGGGAGTGGCGCTCGCCGCACACGCCGCGGCTCAGCTCCTTCGGACCCACGCGGATCTTGAGCTGTAGCGGGGCCGCGTCCCTGAAGGGGCAGCCCCGCTTGGGCATGGCCGCGGGCCGGGGGACGCAGCTCGGCGGGATCGCGCCTCTCCGCTGACCCGCGACGTCACAGCCGCGCGCCAATCCCGGGCCTAGGGCGGGGGGCGGGGCTTGTGCGCGGCGCGGCGCGGCGCGGTGCGGGATAGGCTGGGGCGAGGGCAGGAGGCGGGACTCGTGCAGGGGTCAGAGGGAGCCGGTGGCGCGGGAAAGGCTAGGGGCGAGGTCAAGGGTCGGGGAGGTTTAGCCATGGAACGGGATAGACTGTGGTGAGCTCGCGGGGCGGGACTAGTGAGCGACGCAGCGCAGGATAGGCGCGGGGTGAGGTCAGGGTGCGCCGGGGGCGGGACCGATGTACATGAAGCACGGGATAGGTCTGGGCCAGGTGGGGGGACGGGACTCGCGGCTCGCAATAGGCCGAGGGCGAGGTCAGTGTCGGGACTCGTTCATAGCGTGGCTCAGGATAGTCTCCGGACGAGATTCGGAGGCGCAGGAAAGGCTCGGTGTTTCAGCTTTTTTTTTTTTTTTTTTCAGCCCTCAACAGTCCTCCTAACTGGTTATCGTTCCTGGTTTAACTGACCAAAGGTTCAAGATAACTCACTTTTCCCTAACTTAATTTTGCAAAGCTCCGAGCGCTCATCAAAATGGAGACATGCTGGACGGGTGCCAGCTGAGACCAGAACTCATGGCCCCTCAGCTTCGCGATCGCTGCGCTCCCATGGGTGCGGTCCCCACCTCCCCACGCGCGCCCTCGTCCTTGCTCAGATACCCAAGGCAAGGCCGTTCTCACAGCCAGCTCACCCCACCCCAGCCGGCCTGAGCACACTTTTCCGCCAGCACCTGCGGCCGCGCGACCATGCCTCCTCTCCTTTCCCGCCACTGACGTGTTGCAGAGACAGGGCGCTTGCCCTAGAGGGCGTCCTCGTTGTCTGGTCCTCTAAAACAAACCAACTCACTGCCGTAGAGTCGGACCTGAGGACCTGACTCATAGCGACCCCTCCTTGGGTTTCCGAGGGGGTATCTCTACGGAAGTAGATTGCCCAACCTTCCTTCCGAGGAGCGGCTGGTGGGTTTGAACCGCCAGCCTTCTGGTTAGCACCACCAGGGCAGCTAGTTCTCAATTCATCCCAAATTCTGAAAAGTCGTGGAAGGACACTATGCC